CCTGTGAATCATACAACTTTTGTCTAAAACATTTTTGTCTTAAACTTACAGATTTTAAGATATTTCAGTGAATACATTAAAATGGCCTACCCTGTATATATACACAATGTGTGTGCATGTATTTATATGTATATGTGTATATATTTCAGAAAATATCAGACAATTCTGGATTCAAGATAATAATTTTTATTCATTATTAGAGAATACAAAATGGCTTAAATATATATCGTATTGTCTACAAAAGGCAGTTGAAGTCTGTGAACGTCTTAATTTAGGAATTTCTGTCATCTTACAAGGTAGAGTTTAAAATAATCCAGTATTATGATGTAAACAATTTTTTGTATTATTAATAATAGTAATGAATATTGTAATAGAACAATCTATATATATGTTAACACGCAAAACACTAACATTGTATTAAGAATTAATATTTTGCTAAACCATAAAGATAATTATCTAAGATATGAAACTAATGATCTATAACAGAAATCTTTTTTAGAAGGTGCTGGTAGAGATTTATGCTGTGTTATATCAAGTTTAGCACAACTGTTATTAGATCCTTACTTTCGTACTATAACCGGTTTTCAATCATTATTACAAAAAGAATGGATTGCTGGAGGCCATCCATTTTGTGATAGATTAGGTCATATCGTTAAATCTAATTCAGGAAAGGTATTCATAATATCACATTTATTTTTATAAACGCTTAAGATGCTTAAAACATGTTAACTAACAAATTATTTTTTATTAATATAGTCTCCATTATTTCTTTTATACCTCGATTGCGTTTGGCAATCATATCAACAATATCCAACAGAATTTGAATTTACGGAAACATATTTGACCACATTATGGGATGCAGCACACATTTCTATTTTTGACACTTTTATTTTCAACTGTGAAAGAGATCGAGCAGTGGCAGCTATGGTAATAAATATTGTTTATTTATTTAGATCTTTAATTATTCACTGCCAAAAATGTACTAGATTTATCACATAAATAACTATAATATTATGTCCTTACTTTTTCAGGATCCTAATACACCTCTTGTACTTCGTAGTGTTTGGGATTGGCGGGAGCAATTCAACGATCAGGATATATTGTTATTTTATAATCCTTTATTTATTTCTCATAGTATCAAGAAGATAGAAAATAGGACAGTTATAAAACCTTTATATGCTATTTCCAGTTTAGAACTTTGGACGCAATGCTATTTTCGTTGGATACCAACACTTGAGATTCATAACGGTGGGCAAAGACATATCGAATTTTATATTAGATTATTACAAAATAACATCAATCAACTTAAAATAAATATAAACGATAATCGCGGTTCACCCGTAGATACCGATAAGATCGGTATCTATTCCCTTCATACGAATATTGATAGCTTTTACCCCTTTAGTAATAAAAGATCGAAAAATACTATTAGTGCACCGATTATGAACAATTCAATCTTTTTAACAGAGAGCTTATTAGACACACAATCATTAATAACTACAACCGACTGATGGAATGCTATTTTAATATGATTCAGAATGTACCTGATTACATTCCCTTTCCTTTTAGCTGTGGATAGTGCAAAACAAATTTTCAAATAATTTTTCTTAGTGTGATAAAAATAAAAACAAAATAAATATTATTTTGAAGATTATTAGTGTCTTTAGTGATTTTTTTAAAAACTTTAGTTTTTAAAATGTTGGAACATCCGTAAACAAAGAGAAGGGTGGTGTTCTAGGTACATTAAATTGACATTTAAATTGTAGAGGTTTTTTGAAAAACAATATAAATTTCTATCATAAAATAGAAATCTTATAATGTATTGAAAAACTCACGAATACGTCTCATTATTGAAAGTAACTTAAATCTTTTCTTACTAATTGTGTGTAAGTACAATAAAAATATTTATTTATGACAAGTTTTACATATTTCTATAAGCTCTCTTAATAACGGATATTATGGCAGCATGTTGAATGATTTAAAAAAATAATTAAAGTAGTGTACAAAATATTTGTATATAAATCTCAATACAAGAATAAAAAAGATAACCTTTATAGTTTTTAAGATATTTATAAATCAATTTATTTTACAAATTAATAAATAAAGTTCATAGTTAGAGCAAAATTTGTTTTATTGAGGCTACTTAATAAATTTAATAAATAATATTTGAGAAGACGTGGAGCAAAGAGAAAAAGGGGAAAAGATATATTATAATTATTTTCAAAATAATATATTTTAAAAGAGAGAGAAATATATAACTCAAACATAACAATAGATATGTTTATAGATTTCTTAGAAAGCAACACATTATCTTTTGTGTTTAGTCGTTTACAAGTATTCAGAATTTATAAATAGAATAATGTGTGTGTATGTGTGTTTTTATCATTTTCCCTTATTCTTATCATTAATAAATTATATATATTATTATCATTAATAAATAATTAAACAATTGCAATATTCTTTCTTTTATACTTCCAATCTGGAATTAAGTTATTCAAAAGTTCAAGCACAGACGTTTCACATTTTCATTTCTTTTTTCTTTTATGGATTTTCTCTAATGAGATAAAATATTACACTAAGAGTTGGTTAAATATTACAAATAATAAATATATAGTAAGTGTATCCCCAGTGATACCACTTATCAATCAAAAAATACATTATAAATAAATATATTTGTTCTTTATCTGGATTGATTGTATAAAGACATTAAGACATTTTCTGTGTATTCTGAATAATTAAAGAGAATCCATTCTGATAATCTTTCTGACTTTTACACATATATACACACACATATATTAAACCTGAGATATAGTATGAACAAAATTTATAATAAATGTGTATATGTCAAAACTATTTCTGATTGTAAGCAGATTTTATAGAGAAAGGAGGGAATTATTTTGAATTGATTTTAGTAGTTGGAAAAGTTGCAGTATAGATGAGAAAGAGAGGCTGTTCTTTTCTTTGGAATTATTATATAAAATCAGAAAACAATTATTATTATTATTTCTTGTTTGGATTTCCGTCCTTGGGATGAATAAGTTGTCTCTTCTTGTTTGATTGTAACGTAGATAGTCAGAGTCTATGCAATATTCTCTGATTCCTTTTTTTTCTTCTTTATGCTAAAGTAAGAGAATATGTGAAAATGATTTATTTAGAAATGAAGTGAAGATGTATTTATCGATACAGGCTTTAGACTATAAATTGAAGATTAAGGATTGAATTTTTTTACTAATTAGAATAAAGGGAGCTAAAATTTCTTTTTTCTGGTTTGTCAAATTTTAATCTTCAATCAATTTTCATCTCAATTTTCACCGCGCGAATCTTTAAAATCACATCAATACGGGTAAAAAAAACGAAGTTCGGGAATTCCCATTACACAAATTATACACACACACTACACATATACACACACCAGTGATGCGCAGAGCGCTCTGTGCATCACGTGAATGCGGTTCACGCTTGTGTGTGTTTTAGGCCCTGCGCACAATAGAGAAAATATTAGGAATAGGAATAAAATATTAAATATCAGAAGGAGCAATTTGGAATTATTTTACTTCAAACAAGGAAACGGAATGAATTAATTATTTCTAATTTTTATTTTTTTATTTCATTATGCGTTAAACCATTCCGTTCCTTTGTTTGAAGTAAAATAATTCCAAATTGCTCCTTCTGATATTTAATATTTTATTCCTATTTCTAATATACGCGATTAGCGGAGAACAAAGTAATATAGATACAACAAAGATGACAAATTAATTTTTTTTTTTTTTTCGTTTTCTTCTTCACGTAGTCTATAAAATTCGCTCGATTTGCGTAGAAACGACGAATCGATCAATTTTCTCGGATATTGTACGGGATTCCGTCGTGGAGAAAGAAGAAGAGGTCAACCCCAAAAAATGCAAGTTGTCGATCTAGTTGTCAATTTTCTATATTAGTCTGTGTGTTAATAAATATTACTTTTCGATGTTTTATAACGAGGAGTTCGAATGCCATTACCCGTATTCCCGTATTTCCACTTGTTTCGCTTCCAGAGCGCAGCATTTTTATCGGATCGTCGTCGTGTTCAATGATAAAATGGCTAAAACCCTGATAACACGCGCTTCTTAACGAGAACGATAATCATTGAGCGAAACGACGGCAGTTTGCACGCAGTTTGCCTAGGCTGAAACATAATTTTGGTAATTTACAATTTTCCGCAAATGTTACGTCGATCGTCTGGACAAGCCATTTGTTTCTTGACTTTCGTTGCATTTGTACATCAAATAATATTCCTAACCTGACAAAATTTTTTATATTTATATATATCTTTTTTTCTCTATTTGTTTAATTATAAAAATCGACAGTTGACAGTCGCGTTTAAAAAAAATATATATTACTATATTTTTAAAAATATAGCAATAGCCTTTACATTTTTTCAAAAGCTGTTAAAAGCAATTTTTCGTTATTATCTCCATTTAAAATAAATATAAAAAGCAGTTATATAAATTCTACATATTTTATCCTTGTTGAAATTTGCAGCTGACTATTGACAACTTTATATTTTTTTAAGCAAGCAACATGTCTACCATGTTGTCAAATGAAGCTCAACTACGTTACATGATAGAATGGTTCCAAGAATGGTCTGAAATGCAGCGGAATGATTTCCTGGGAGTATTGCTCGAGAACTGTGGCCCTCCAGGGCTTGTAAATGGGCTAGTTGCTGGAATGGAGAAAATGGATTGTGAAGGGTCTGATAGACCACCGAGCTTGTTTCAATGTCGCGTTAAACTCTTTAAAGAGTGGAGTAGCAATTGGTCGCAAAGTGAGAAGGATTCCTTGTTGGCAGCCATTAAGAATATAGATAGTAAGTTTACTGAGAAGTATGAAGAAAGATTATCAGCATTGATGGAAGATAAACAATAATCAATCAGCACTGTCCTTTACAATTTAGATTCCAGCCACACATACAGCTTTTTTTTTAATTAATAGAAGTTTGTAGAAAACTTATTTCCCTTTTTTTATATTTATATATTTATTTTTTTAAAAAAGAAATACATGTTATACCATTTTATCATGGTTTTATATGTAATACAGAAATATTAATACAATTAAATTGTATACTTTGCATACAATGAAATACGTAGAAGTGACATAAACAAAATTCTCTGATTATTATTCAGACATATCACCCTCATCAGCTTAACTGAATTCTTTTGAATTTCTTGTATGTCAAAATTTGATTTATGCCACTTCTAAAATAAAATAAATCTAATCATTGACATAAAATATTTAAAATTCAATATTGAAAATTATGGGTTTTTATTGCAGTTAATATATTGAATTAAAAGAAATCGTTTAATATGAAATAAGTGAGATATTTGTACAAATATATTTGGTAAATTTTACTTTTTTTAAATAAATAAGTAGACAGAACAGCTATTAGAGAAAAGCTGAGCGCTATTAAAGGTATGCAGAAATATTTATTTAATAATTACACAGAGCAAATTTTTGTGTCAAAAATAAATATTTTTGCGCATCTTTACAGCGCTCAGCTCCTAATAGCCGTTCTTCCTACTTATTTATTTACTTTTCTTATTTTATTTGGTAAGCCGGAAACCGGAAACCAGAATTTGTTCTGTTATCACTGCATATCGGGGATTTACACATTGCACTTGCTCTATATACGTCATTTAGAAATGATAGGTTGTAATTATTTAATATATTAATAGAAATCTGTACTATATCCCTTGAGAAACGGAAATCTATTAAGAAATAAAGAATATATCAGAACAAAGTAAAAGGTATCGTATTTATATATTATGATATTGCCATTGTTTAACAAGATTGCATCAATTGCAATTGAACATGAACATTCAATTTATTTAACTTTTACATTTTTCTCCATTTCTGTATTTGAAATGAATTAAGTGTATATATATTTTCCGTTTTTTTCTTCTAGCTAGGTAAAGAACAAAACAACAAATAAAATAAGTATGTAAAATTTGTAATTAAAACTGCTAGATTGTTTTATTAAGCAGTATTTTTTTTTATTAAAAAGTAATTTACATATTACATATAAAAATAATTTACATATAATTCTAATCTAGGAACTTGAATATTTTATGAATAGATGCCATTTTTTATGATAAATTGATTTTATATCAAGAACATGGCATCCCATGAAGAAGATGAGGAAATAAGTATAAAAGTAAAGCTTTTGAAATTACACTGCCCATTTACTTGGGAAATACAAGACAGTACGATAAAGCATTCCATAATGTACATCAATAACTATAATGTATATCATGAAAATGATACAATTGAAGATGAAACATCTTGTCCTTTAGAACTGTTGATAAAATCTTTGTTTAAATGTTATAAAGCTGTAGTAAGTGCAGATTATGATGAAGCAAAAAAAAATATTTCAAAAGCAGAAGATGTTTTAATGGAGATTCAACAAGGGTATGACGCATAATATTTATTTATGTTAATATTTTAAAGTTTCTTGTTTTTTTTACTATTATTATATTAAGAATTATTGTAGGCAAGAATTATGTCGAACATCAAGGGCAATCGAACATGTTTTTTATGCAACTAAATGTTTTTTTTTATATGAATTTGAAGAAAATCCTACTCTGTTAGAAGAGATTTTAAAAAATATTGATGATACAGAAAAATTCAATAATGAAGAACTTGGTGCCCTATATGGATGTCAAAGTGTTGTATGGTCGTGTTTAAATGATTACGGTATAAAAAAAGCGATTGATATCGCTAAGAAAGCAATAGAAAAAAATCAAGACTGTGCATTATGGCATTTTATTCTTGGAAAGAATCTCAGGCGTCAAAGGCGTTCAATAAATCTTTCATCCGAAGTATCAGATATGGAAAAAGAACATTTTGAAATAGCATATGCTATTTCTAAGAATGATGTATTTGGAATTTATTATTTACAAATGCGTATGGAGAGTTTTCATAAATTCAGGAGAGGAAGAGATCATTATATAAGAAAAACTAACAATGAAAAACAAGTATTACAAATCGCTAAGGAAATTGTTAAAACTAAACCAACAGATCATAGAGTTCTGCTAAAGTTAGCTCTTATGTTTCTACGCGCAAATGTTTCAGATGAAACATTGTTAGCGAAAGAATGTCTAGATGCTGTAAATCAAATAGCACCAAGTAATACTACATATCTGCATTACACTGCAATGTTATACCAGCAATGCGGGGATTATAGGGTTAGTATAATAAACAAATGATAACATAAGTCAGTTTAATAACATAATGATGATATTAATTTTATTATATAATCGCAAAAAAAATTCATAAGAAAAGATAACATTAAATTTTGATTTTTAAAATCTGTTTAAAAGATTGTAACAATAATAAGAGGTATTAATAGAAGTATTAATAAGAGGTAAATACAAGCTATATAATTTAGTCATATATTATACAAGAATTTTTATTTCAGTAACCATTAAACCAAATCCAATCATTTCATCCAGAATCATTAAATGATAGTACTCTAGAGAAATATACTCTTACACCAATATCTATCTTATATATGCAGTTCTATATTCATTTATTAATACTGCATTAGATAGTTTTAATAATGAGTTACTTTCTTCTTTCTTGCAAAAGAGGAAAAAATTATATATATATATGATATATTTATTTTTAGGAAGCTATAAACTATTTCAAAAAGGCTGCCGAAGGTAATAACTTTGTAGCAGAACTTTCTTATGTACAATTTGGTTGGGAAACTGGAGAGGTGGAACCTTTGCCGCATTTATTGCGAATGTTGAAGAAATATGAACATTTAATCAAAGAGCGACAAATTGCTCTCAATTTAGCTATTGCAATTACTTATTATTCTCTCCATAACAACATAACAAATGCAGCAGAATATTTTTTAAAGGCTCTTACAATAGATCCACGGAATAATAAGTTTAAGGTTCATATTGAAATATATATAATCTCTTATATTTGTATATAAAACGTTACAAAAAGGATTCAGGTTCTAATAAGATAAATCTCATAAAATCGAGTAAAAAAAATTTAGTGAAAACATGGATCGAAAAATCAAATCTATTAGAATTAAGAGCATTTTTCAATCAATTTATTACTTTGTATCTTATAAAATCCTGAACTTTTTTTAAAATTGAAAATATACACATACATATATGTATGTATATATTATACCAAATATACACAGATATGCATTAATAATATAGAAATAATTACACAATAATAGATCATGAAATATTTTTGAAATAATTAGAACTCTGTTTTTGTTTTAGACATACTACAAATATCTTGATTTTAATACCCTCAGTATTTCATCTTTTTTAATCGATCAATTATGCCCACTACTCGAGAAAAATAATTCTCAAGAGATGAGTCAAAAAATAAAAGATCTTTTGAATGTAAGGGACATAACCACCGATGATGTAACTAATTTATCAGAAGAATTTGGAAACCTTTGTGCAAATGACAAAACAGTGCAACCTGAATCAAATATTTAGTTCCAAATAATGACTGCCGAAACATTGCACTGTTTTAATTTTATTTTGGTGCAATACTTTATTATTGAATTGGTGCAATACTTTATTATTGATTTGGTGCAATACTATATTATTGATTTGGTGCAATACTATATTATTACTTTAACTTTGCCACACAATTGAATTTTATTTTAAGTATAAACTATATATTATGTTAAATATATAATATATATATATATATATATATAATTTATATATATATATATATATATACACCTTTTTTTAACATTTTACTAAGCATTTTAGAGAAAAACGTTTTGAACAAAAATTGTATGGTTNNNNTATATTTAAATAATAATAATTATAATTATTATGTTTAAATTTTTTTATTGAGAGAATAAAGATTATTAATAAATGTGTTACGAATCTAAAATTATGCATATTTTTCTTTGAATTTAAAAAAGAGCGCGCAATTTCCATCAATAGCCATATTAGGGATCGACTTCAGTGCTCTCGAAAGGCGCGTCGTGCACACGAAATTCCAAAATTTTTTCGTGACACGATGAACGTTGCCGGTGTAGGAGTGAAGATATACGATGAAGGAGTATGTGTCTATCAACACGAGACTACCCAATCCGACAAGAATGATCTGAGAACATTACTACAGAATCTACGAGACGTGCAATCGAATGTCAATGTTTTTTTAACCACACTGATTCAACAGCAAGACGCGATTAGCGGAGAACAAAGTAATATAGATACAACAAAGATGACAAATTAATTTTTTTTTTTTTTTCGTTTTCTTCAATATTTATTTAATAATTACACAGAGCAAATTTTTGTGTCAAAAATAAATATTTTTGCGCATCTTTACAGCGCTCAGCTCCTAATAGCCGTTCTTCCTACTTATTTATTTACTTTTCTTATTTTATTTAGAGACTCAGAAATATATATATATATATTGCTCATTGTATACATTCCTTTATCTTTGCATTTTATATATACACTGTATTCAAATACTATCATTATATAATCAAGTTTCATCTATATTAACTATTTTTTTTTTCCGTTTAAATTTTGTATCCAAAAGTAACATATTGTATTATAAAATAACACATTCAGGATTTCAAATTTAATTAATTTTTTAAGGTCGTAACAAATATTATGTACAAATTTTAATATTTATATTACTATAATAATAGTAATTATATAGTGTTTCAACAACTTTTAATAGCAATAATAAAATGTGTGTAATTCTCCGATAAGATCTGATTTGCTATATTTAGACTCATTTTATATTTAAAATGTATGTTTCTCAGGAGAGAAAATTTAATAAATTCCAATTTTTATGTAATAAGAAAGACAATTTCTATAATCTCTTTCTCTTTTTCGTTCAGAATTATAAAAAATACTTGTTTACATTCTTTTAATTTAACTGCAGAAAATATATCTTCTGAAGTTATAATCAACATCGTTTCTGAAGTTATAATGCAATATTACAGTGAGGAGACTCAAGAGTTCTTTAAATATTATTTATAAAATATCTTAACAATCATTTATTTTTACTTCAGTCCTGAAGTTATATACATTGTCTCATTTTCAATTCTTCTTCAAAATATAAATCTGGAAGCTTATTTCTTTGGTTCTTGTTGTAGCCATTTAAGGCATATTGTTTTAATTGCATTTTGGCCAAGTCTATCTGATTCTTTCAAGATTCTCTTTATATCTTGTGTTCTAGAATGTTTAACAGCAAGAAGATATGCAGCCTTTAATTGCTTGCTTTCAATGTATGCATTTATCTAGAAAAAGAAACAGCATTGTAAGATATATAAATAATACATTGAAATTCTCTTTTAATAAATAGATATTGATATAATTATAAGTAAATCTTACCCTAAGTTTTGTGTCGATTATTAATTTGATTAGAATATCTATATGATTTTTGAGAGCCGGATTTTGTTCACTATGTAAACGATTTGATAATAATTTCATACAATGTGTCAAAACATGATCAGAAATTACATGTGCATTAGGTGCTCCAGAGCTGCGACAGCATTTAATCAATTGCTCGATCGCGACTATGTCATTTTTTAAAGTCAACACATGGCCAGCCAAAGAATACATTTTCTGTTGTGGAAGATTATAATCTATAAAAATACAATATTAACAAAACATTAATTTAACTCTAATAATATATATTTTTAATTTTGCAAATTTATATTTTATTATGCATGATTATTTTCTATTTATCTAATTTTAATATTATATAGGATATGCATTGGGACTAAACTATTCTTATTATATTGCATTCATATTATATTGTTACCTTGTATTATTCTGAAAGCTATACCAAATCCTTCTCCAATATCACGACCACACAATATAGCTAGAACAGCCAAATGTATCTTCTGTTGCTGATTGCCAAACAATGTAGGCAATTCAAATGTCTGAGACTCGTCGTTATCAATGTTCGGGAAGAGGTTTAAAAATTCCGTTGGTGCTCTGTCTTCTCTTTCACAATTTGCTAAAAATTTCGTGATTTCCATTTGTCTGCATATAGTGTTTATATGTCTATCTATTTCCGATGGTTCCATCTCCATTGCCAGAATACTTTGACTGCTATGAGCAAAGCTTATGCTCTTCCTTTTTTTACTCAAGCTTTCGATTTGTAATTCTGACTCTAAATGTTTTTGAGCGTCTTGTAATAGATGTATCCTGTTGTGCAAATCTAAATAGGAATTTACTTCGCTGGTATAAAAATGAATGCATGTCATCGATGCTCTTATACAGTCTTTCATAAAGAGTTGTATCTGATATAAAATATGCCAATATTGTTTCCTTTCCATGAAATGACAGACAAATATTAAATACTTCTTCCAAATGAACAAAGTAGGATCTTTTGTCTTCATCACTTCGTGAAGTTTATCGGTATCGCCATTCTTCAAACAATATAAATAAACTCCATTAAGAAATAAATCACACTCTAAATCATTTTCCAATATATATGCCAGGCATTTATCAAACTCTTTATGCTTCAAAAAGAACTGTAAGATGGAGTTGTAGCTTCCATATGTCAATAGATAATACAAACTTTGTTGGTAGTAAACTGTTAGATTAAAAGGAGCCAGATATTTAGTATTAAATTGATTTTGGCTAAGAGCTTTGAGGTTGTGAAGTGTATGAAAGATTTCTTGCGTTGCGTCGGATACAGATTGAGATGACTGTTGTATTTGGAACCGTTGTACACTCAAGTTATCTAATATTTGCAAAAGTTCCGTCAATAACGGTGGATCCTTTAGAGGCCGGCACTTGGAGTATTCTTTTCTTTTCCAATAATCATCACTTTCATTCTGTCTTTTTTTCTCATTCGAAATTTCCTTTTTCTTCAGCACAATCGTGCTGCTTTCCGTCGGCTCTCTCTTTTCAAACTCTTTGGAATAAGATAATACGACCCAATCGTCAAAATCCTCGTACTCTATTTTGTCGAGACAATGGTGAAACTTCTCTCTCGCCTGATCTAAGTGTCCTACCTTCAAACAGGCCTTACCCCACGCGGCCCATACTCCCTGTGTATCCAGTCCCGCTTTCGTACTAACATCCAATGCTAATGTCCATTGTTCCTTCTCAGTAAGAAGATCACGCAATTTTCTCAACGTGTGCTCGTCTAGATCATTCGTAGGTATCAGAGCCAAACAATCGGACTGGACCAAAATCGCAATGAGATCCACTTGTGAGAGGAATCGGTCGCAGTGCGTGAGGCCAGTGTTAAAACCAAGTTTCGCGCATTTCACCTTAGCCGCGACCAATAGAGAACGTATCATTTTAATGATCACTGCATGATCGACTTCGGGGTTTATTCTGCCGCCGCCAACAGGTAGGAGCAATTGCTTCATTTCATCGCAACGATCTAGTAAGAAGCTGTATAATATAAATATTATTGTTAGTCAAGTTATCTCGTCTATTATACTTGTCTTTTGCCAAGTAGAATTTCTTTATATTACTGTATTAGAAAATTTACAAGTTATTACCTGGTATACATCTTGTGATCAGAATGCAGATTAAGGATAGTGAGACACAATGAAATATTTGGCGCATACTCGAACGAGAACTCCTCTCTTATGGTGCGATTGTGCCTCTCATCTCTCGTCAATCGCCAACAATCAAATGTCTCACTATTGGATGTCGACGAAACACTTTGCATCGCGTGCATCTGCAATACCGTTTGACGTTTGCAATCGTCGCACACGCGTACGAATACGGAATTAGGATAACCAACGACTTGCATGCGATGTTGAGAACACATGGCGCAAACAACACGACCGCACCGTCGACAATGATGTCGTCTGTTGAACATGGAAAATATTACAGCTTTGCAGCAACTGCATTCTCTTGCCTATTAAAAACAAACATTTTATTATATAAATATAATAACTGAACAATATAGGGGTATGTGTATTTTGGATAATTTTAAGAAAACTTGATACACATGCAAACTGACTAAAAGAATATTATCTCTTGTAATATTATTATTGCATGTTTTTGAGAATTACCTTATCATTAGGTACCCATTCTTCTTTTGTAGGCACGTTAACAGGCATAATAAATTCATTATTTTCAGCTTCTAGATTAGATTGTGGAATATTTTTGATTTTACTTTCGATGCCATCACGTTGAATGGATACACGAAAATCCAGCGATTTTCTAGCATAAAATCTTATAATTTTGTCAAAATTACCGATGCTTATATCGGCATGCTGTAATTTTCCATGTAACGTGTTTAGAATCTTTTGAATACTTTCAATTTTACAATTCATTAATAATTGTTCCAGCATTAATAATGGTTCTTTTATCAGATGAATATATAGCGTTCTGTCTTTACTCTCCAACATTTTCAAAATTTCCAAACCGATTAAAATTTTTTTATATTTGGATTGATCTGCTACTTTGCAGTGTTCCAGTAAATAGTTAGTGACAAACTGCAATGCGTTAATGGATTCTAATCTTTTGAGAATTCCTTTGCATATCTTTACCGATTGGCTCGACGGTAATGTTTGAAGAAACTAAAATATCAAAGTATTAATATTCATTATTGAAACATTAGATCATTATTGAAATATTAAATCATTATTGAAACGATAAAAACTCATACAGATATGGCTATATAGATACAGTTTTTGTGAGCCACATTATTGCATACTTTTAGAGCTTGCTGAAAGTCTTGCTGCTTGTTTTTTAAGAGGCCTATCAAAAAATCTTGAACCATAGGAGATTGTATCTTTAAAGAGAATGCTTGACATTCCAGCCACTCTAAGCATAATTCGAACTGATCCGTGTAAATCAACGATTTGATAATCTCAAATGAATTGATTTTTTCTGTACAGTACATGATATCGTACCATGTACTGTTGGATCTGTTCGCACAATATGGAATCATTTTATGAAATATTGTTATTCTGCACAAGATGCCGTTTATTCGACGCTTGCAATATGCCGGCAATTTGTAACTATGCTCATGTTGCAATGCGTGATATAATGCATGCTCACATATATCCATAGGCCATTTGTTGATATTGTGCAGTATTGTCTGCACCAGTATATGTATATCTTTGATTTGATATAAGTATTGCAACATTTTCGTGACAGATAGAACATCTAAATTGGAGAGTATGTAAGTTAGAATTAAATCCTTGAAGCGCTGTAATTCCGTATCGTATTTTACGACGCTGTCAGGTAAAGCATTTACAATCTCTAAAGAATTTTGCATATTACGATCTTCTCCTCTTTGCTCAAAATAACGCCACAATTCATGCACAGGTATGCTATCATGAATAGCGGTAAGAGTTTGATTGTTGTTAAATAATAATTTTAATTTATTGATCCATGGAGAATTCAAAAGATTCTCGAGGCACGCAGTACGTTTTATATTATCATAGGTATTCTCCAAAATAGTCGAATTTTCATTATGCATCCTTTGTACAAGATAAGAGAGTAGCCAACAATGGCGTTCCAAGTATTGCAGTAAACTAGATCTTAGCGTCCGAATTTGCCAAAGTGATGGTTCCATGGTATTTCTGGTAGTTTTGACCCTAGATGTATCATGTTTAGAATATCTTAATACTACTTCGTATGTATAATTGCATGTAATATTATCTATATTTTCGTTTAATATTTCAAATCCATCCGTCGACAAGAGATTCCTATTGACGCTGACGTCAGTATTTTGTGTAAACGCGTTCTGATAATGTTCTTGTATAACATCAGTAAAGCTGATTTTCCGTCTCATTGTCGGACTATTCGTAAAATCACCATCATCAGATGATATGGTTGACAAATAATGAGAGACATAATCGCGCATCGCATCATTCAAGTGTTCGTCTAACTTCTCAGTCTCGTACACCTACAACGTCGAGCATATTGATCATATTTGTCCGCACTTATCAAATAATTAATCGAGCGTAGCTTACACGAATTTCAGGCGTGCCATAAAGCTCGTTAACCATAGCGAAGATAACTCTTGGATTCTGTACAAGATCTAAATCCTGCCATGCTAATTCATTGAGTTCCTCGATTGACATAAAGAATTTCAAATCATTCGCATGATAGCCCAATAACTTTGATCTCAGAGCGGCGAGTGTTACCAGACCTAGATCACCAATCATATAGCCGATCGACATCAAGGAGACCGTACGCCTTAAGTTGCCGAGAGGCGGATCGTTGGACCATACATCCAAATTTGCGTGAAGGAACATGACATTCCAAATATTCAAGAAAAATGTCAGCGTTTCATTTCCTACAGACAATTCGCTGAGATCGAGATTAGCGAGACTTGACGTCTTATTTAACACCGCTCGCACAGCCATATGATTAGAGATATTTCTTAAGCACGAATTGTCCAGACGTGATCGCCCCGAACTTACATCATAGAGAACCTGCAGAAGTTCTGTCAATATTTCTGAGATGCATTGGTTTGGGTCTGTGACATTTTTTACATTCTGTAAAGATAATATTCTAAATTACACTATACTATGCATTATTAATTAATTAAAAAAAAAAAATGCATATATATATATATAAAGTGTTTCAAAATTAATTTGCGACAGAAACTGATAGGATCAATGATGCATTCACTGAAATGGAAAAATAAACAAACTTCTTTTTTTTTATATATAACGTATATAATATATACAACAATAATAAAACGTTTCCAGATCTATGTTTATATAATATTTTTTTTCTTCTTTCTACTCATCAAACATTGGCAAAGTTTGATCGTTTAACTTTGAAACACTCTGTATATATTTAATCAATTCGCATACCGATTCCTCTCGTTTTTGGTTCAATATGATACATCCTGAATCCTTAACATTATTATAATAATTTTTTTCATTATAATACGAAATTTTCGGACATGCGTTTACAAGAATACTGTATATTAAGTTCACTTGCAAATTAGAAGCGACTGTTTCAAACTTGTCCGGCTCTATCTTCAAATCGAATATTTGATATCCGAAATAACGATACAATGGCGTCTTTAATAAATCAAACACTGTCACTATGTTAGCATCATCTAAAAACATAATAATAACAAATTAGTATACACAAGTCAATAATATGAAACAAAATATATTCCCAATTTCGTAATTGGTTTGATAAATAAATAAATCTAAAATAAACGAACAGAGAGAGAGAGACACATAAACTTACTGATGTCTGGAATAATAGTGCATACAAGCTGCAGATAAGAATAGATATTTTGAAAATATCTTTTATCACTGTTAAAAATATCAGACATCTTTTTTATCGTTTTTAATCCTAAAACATAATTATTGCTGTCACGAAATTGCATCGCGACAATCCCAGTTCTTTCGAGATTGCGAAATGAGCGATAATTATTCTCAAAATCACTCCAAATGTCGTTTCTTTCTTTCCACTCCTTTATATACAACGGAATTCTGGCGTCACACAGTATATTTGTTACAGACATATTATTCTTACTGTCATAAAACAATTGATAAATCTTTAAAAAGAAATTCGCATATTCTATGCCATCAAACGTTTCGTGTGATTTTAAATATTTCATGGCTACATCGCAAAGATTACTCGAGATTTGATGAGTTTTGCCGATAGTCAAACTCAAGTCGAGCACGCTAAAAGTTAACATTTTTTTGCTATTTATATCTGTATTTAACATTCGTAAATGTAATTCCTGAGATGCTAGAAATGTTTCGAGTTGCTTGATGTGCTTAGAGGATTGTACAGCTTCTTGTGTAATCAATCTTATGGTCTGCAAATATATCGTGACACTTATATCTAGCACTGAGCCAATAAAATTATATGTATATAGAATCTTACCTCTAATGTGGAAGTTCCTGAATTTTTTTTAGAGAAGTCTGTTATATTTGAAGTATAAAAGTATTTAGATATATCCTGCTTAAATGTGTAAAACGCTTCTGAAAATCGAATCTCGCCGTCTACTTGCGTATTTTCCATATGGAACATCTAACAAACATAACATGTTTGTGAATAATATATATATATATTACAAAAAGTTTAAAATGTCATATCAAAAGACAACTGTGATTCTGTTAATAATCAAGATTTGTATCTTGCAAGCACTTAGTATTTAGATATATCCTGCTTAAATGTGTAAAACGCTTCTGAAAATCGAATCTCGCCGTCTACTTGCGTATTTTCCATATGGAACATCTAACAAACATAACATGTTTGTGAATAATATATATATATATATATTACAAAAAGTTTAAAATGTCATATCAAAAGACAACTGTGATTCTGTTAATAATCAAGATTTGTATCTTGCAAGCACTTTCTCATACAGTTAAATATTTGATGCAAATATTTTGTACTCCATAATTGATGTGTTATATTATAATATGTGATATATTATAATATTTTGGTTAAAATTGTAATAAAGAATTATCTATTATAGGTTGATGTACAAGATGCAAAAGTTTTTGACATTGCATTAGATGTTATGAATTATGATGAAGAGAGTGAAAATGAAATGATTCAGTCAGCAGATCTTACAGATTTAAAACCTCTCGCAGAAGATGAAAAAAGATACAAATCGTTACATTCTCATGTAAAATATTACAACGAACATAATGCTGAAAATGAAAAACAATATTCAAATGTATTTTTTTACATGCAACCATATGCAAAAGAAATATTTAATTTGCAAGAAGACAAACCATTTATTGCTGGTTTTAAGCATGAATTAGATAAAGTACAAATTGTGTTACTGGTTTTCATATTTTTTTTTAAATTATTAAATCTATGCTTTTAAATTAGTATTTCTCTCTCTCTCTCTTTCTTCAAGACTATGAAGCAGACGACAATTGCCTATGCAACATCAATTAAGACAATTAACCATACAAGTTTTTATAACAGCAAGAGAAGTATACAGAATTTAGGAAGACTACGATTACAGAATTACAATGGTACAACTATTACTACAGATTTATCTTTAATATGTATGCTTATATTAATCGTAAATCGCTTATATTAATAAAAATAAAGAGAGAATAAATATACAAAAAATATTTTTTACTAAATTAATAGACAAAAGTATACAAAATATAAAAAGTATTAGAATAAAACGTGAAGAAATAGTGAACAATTATGAAACAACATTAAATAAAGAAATGGATTTTTTCCAAGTCATGAAAGATAGGGATATTGTAACTGGTGAAGCAGAAACAACAGAATACTTTGAGAAAACACAAGAGATACATATGCAATATGACATGTATGAATATGGTCAAAAAACTACAAGTGAAAATATCAAAAATATTCTCGATCAATCTTTAACTCTGAAAGGGAGATCTACTCTTGCAGATACCGAAAGTCCCGATGAAGAGTTATACGATTATGAGAAGTTCAAAATGGAATATGAACAACAGCTGGAATACAACATAAAACATGGCAAGATACTGAATTATACCGAGAAGGATGAATTAGAGGATATTCCAAAAGAAGCATTGAAAGGATCCGAAAACTGTACAAAGGAAGAGCTAAGTCAGATTGGAATTAAGGCATTAAAATGCCTTTTATATGATTACCAGCATGTGAAGGACATAACGCATGTAAACAGAATTTTGTCAAGGACATGGCTAGTTCTCAAAATTTGGTTATTAATTTATATTTGTCTGGCAATACCCTGCTGGTGTCAAAGAGGTAATTTTATTAACTATGATGTGTCTTCTCTTGAAAAAATTATTATATGGGAAGATATATAAACAATATGTCATACTTCAGGATGGTGCTGCTGTTGTTTTCGTTGTAAATTTTGTTTTCCGCAAAAAAGAATTACATTCGCGAAACAATATTATACAATGAATCCACCTGGCACTTTTGTGAAAGATTTAAAAAAGGAGAAACATGTGAAAGAACCTATTAAATATGAAGCTACTGAATATGAGTATAATTCATATGAAACATTCGAAACTGCAATAAGAAATATATAAATATTAATATTTGTAAAATGTTAGTTTTAACCAATTTTATTAGTTACTTAATATGAATTATTAGTTTTGGGAACACAATTCTCTCTATTTTTTTTCTTTATCAACTACTCAGATATTTACTCAACATAGATTTCTAATTTGTATAAAAAAAAAGACATAATATAACTATATGTTATACATTATTACACAAAGTAATATTACCTCAATTATTTCCCGTGCCTTTTGAAAATCGTTTCTCCACAAACAGTGCAACACCAAGCTTTCTTTCGAGGCCAGCATTAAATTTATAAAGGATGGTTCCTTTTTTGCTAAAAAATCTGCTGTTGCTGTAGTAATTCTGGAACGTTTTCTGCGTTTAGTATTGCTGCCTAATAAACCAGATTCTGAACTGCTATCAGATTTAATTTTAGTCTCGTCAGAAGTGCTATCCTCTTTATAAAAGAACATGTCTTCCTTGGTGTGATGTGGAAGATTTAATTTTTCCAACATTATGGGTTCTAATTTATTTGTAATGGTAAAATTATCACATTCGTCTTGTGAAATACCAATGTTTTCGATAAAATGAGATCTCATATAAAATCTCAGTTTCCATCTAGCATCCATCAATGTTGATGTAAGGATGGATATATTTTCATGAAGTTGTTGTGCCTCTGTATGCAATCCGAGTATTTGCAGTTTATCAATTTCTTCTGTTGCAACTAAAGTACTATTCCATAAATAATGCAGCATGTCTCTTATAATATATTTGTTACTTATAAAGCCTGACTTCTCACATCCTATCAACTTGCTAATATCCGTTCTTTCGAGCGATATATTGCAATTATCATCTTTGAAATTGGCATTTGTAACATTAAAATTTTCGTAACGTAGAAATAATAAGGAAAATATATTCTCTATTGTCTGAATCCTCAATGACAAAGGAAATAAAGAAGATAAATATGATGTCATGTCAGTAAAATATTTAGCAATCTGTTTATGTTCTGTATTATAAAATTCACATAACAAAATAGTTTTCAAGGCGCTTATTATGCAACAATATGCTTGAAAAGTTTCAGATTGGCCAGATTTCTCCAGTAAATTTTTGATTGCACTGTGATCTTGATCGTGTATATTTGTTGTTATCTTCAAGACAGAAAGTACATTATGTTTTTGCAAAAGAGCGAGGATCTGCTTTACAGATATTATATGTTCGATTATATCAGATTGCGAACTTTGGAATTCCTTGATGTTTAATCTCATTGTTATAAAACATTTTCTTTTCCAATGTAAAATATATTTCACAATTTCAATATAGCTTTTTAAGACCATATGCAATTCATTTAAATCATAATCACTGTATAAATCAGAATAACATTTCTCTAAGAAAAACTTGATAGACTCACAGATTAAAATACCATTATCGCAATTTTCAAGTGAGTTAATTTCTTCTTGTGGACAATCATTTAATACTTTTAATAATAAAACTGGATATAATTGCTTTAGTAAGTCACATGAGAGCAATAATTCGACTTCAGTATATTTTCTTTTCATAGTTAAAACATAACATATATCCTGCAACATATATATAATATATATAAATTTCGTGTACACAAATTTTTAACATATATTGTAAATAAATATAGTGTTTCATTCATTAGTTGTAAATTAATTAAAATAATAAATTGCTTAAAGCTTAAAATATATAAGGCTTACCAAAATATCATTTAACCAATGTAATTTCCTTGCACTTATTCTTTTAACTAATTCTTGTTCGCATAGAAGTATTTTAAAATTTTTGGTTACTTTAAATATACTTTCACTGATTTTGTATGCTATTAACAAAGTACTGGCACTTTCAGAACATGCATACGTTTCATTCCAAAGTAAAAGCCATTCTTTGAATAATTTATCATTTTTCTTTGAATATAATGCAAGTTCAATATCTTTAACATGGTATGCTTTTGAAAGCATGGGATAAACTATCTTTAAAAACTCTATTTCTGCATTTGTATCTATATCCATTTTTGATAATATACACAGAACAATCTTTAAATATTTCCCATAAGTAATTGAATCAGTTTCTGGAGAACAAGACTCAAACATTTTATGATTTAAATACCAATTTTTTCTGACTGGAATGTGTTCTAGGCATGATTCCAATGTAAAAAAGTAAATATCTTGTAAATTGCTAACAATATTTTGTCTGATTGGAACTGTGGATATTAATTTCTTTATAATCCAACATACAATTCCTGGATTAAAATGTATACTCTCTTTTAGGAATGTGAGAATCTCTTTGGATATGGTGTTTGAAGTTTCTTTTGTAATATCCTCTATGCTTGTATTCTGGAAAAATATCATGAATTCCTGGAAAATAAAATTCTTTACAAATAAGAGTAATGCAAAATAATAGAGGAGACAAATTTTGCTAGTAAAAATACCTTAAGTGGATAATCTGATACATTGTCACATAGCTCTATAGCATTTTTTATTTGTATATAATCAAATTTTATTTGAATGTTGCGCTGTATATCGCAATTAATATTAGATGACTTGTTATCTATGACTTTCCACAGCAATATATAGGCGATCCATTGGTATTGCTCTTCATCAGCAGAATGTCTATAAATGTGTGTCACATCAAATGTAAAAAGAAATAAGAAATGACGTAATGTAATTAATAAAAAAGATTTACTCACATTAAGTTTTCAACTACAGCTTTTAATTCCGCCAAGTCAATGCAACAATTGTGATAAAAGTCTTTCAAGAAATTATTGTCATTATTTATTTGAGAAATATTTAAAGATGTATACCACAATCGAGACAAAATGCATTTATCAAATTCCAGTATCCCTGTTTGTTTTGACATTATTCCTTTATTTCTTCTAGAAGTATATTTATATAATGCATGAAAATTATTTTATCTTGTTTTCCTGTTATTTGAAGAACAATCTTGTGTGAGAATTTTCTATTAAAAGTATTTTAAAAATACTGAAGAGAAAAAATATCAATGCATGATATATAATTTATTTAATTTATCAGCATAAAACATAGTTTTAAAAAATTTTTTTAAATAGATTTCAGTCCACAGAGATAGGATGCAATATCACAATTCTCTCTCAAATGTATCCTTTTTTTTACATTCTCAGTCTTTATACATTTATAGCTTTTATCCTTTTTTTTCTGGAGATTGCTTCGAACTCGGAGAATTATATCACACACATTTACTATTAAATTGTATTACTATCTTTATTTATATTACATTATTCTCTGCCTACTTTGTAAAAAAACCACTAATATTTATACGTAAATAACAATCACTGATATCTAAACGTGACTGGATTATGGCTCCTATACGTAGGACGCGGCAACACTTGTCGTACGGCAAAAGGCGACGTGGTAGCCAATCAATTTACAACTTTTCCATAAGAGCGAATGATTGATTGGCTAGCGCGTTGCTTTTTGCCGCGCAACAATACTGTCATATGGATATGCCATTACCTCTGAAGCCGGAGCTTCATACGGTCTCCGCTTGAGGACTCCAAGATCAATTCGGAGTTTGACAGTTTGCCCGTCAAATAGATCTTATATATCTTTCTCTGTAGGTAGAAAGAGACAGCAAGTGTTTAAAATATCTTCTAATAAATATATGTGAGAAATCTTTCAAAAAGGATTAATAGGCTTCCTGTAACGTTTCTGTAAGATTCTCTTGTCGGAATGATTTTGAGAGAGAGAGAGAGAGAGAGAGAGAGAGAAGAAAAGGAGGAAAGAGAATAACGAGTATCAAAATATAATCATTTAATCACAATTACTAACTTTCGGTATAAAGATCTAGAGTACAAGATTTTCACCTATAAATTGTATAGGTGTGTATATTGCTGACATTCAATTTTTTAGTTTAAAAGGTACTCTAACGAGAATCACAGTTTTCGCAACACATAGCACAGTCGCGTCTCCGTTGTCACTTATATATATAATATATAAATGTATATTTATTCTATTTATAGGTAACACTTGACAACAATGTCGTTAATGTATATTAGTACTTTAATACTTTAACGATCTCGTGTATGTGTTTTGTAATGTACTAGCTATTTATATAATTAAGATGGACTTTCCACTCTGGTAACAAGAAATTTGCGCGATAAAACTTAGCAACAACGGCAGTGGTAAATTGGCTCAATGATTCGCGAACAATGTGATGCAGAGCTCGCTTCATAAAGAAAATCAACCAAAAGTTGTCTTCCTTTTACATCGCTGCATATTCTGCCTAGAGTATTAATGATCGAAAACAGCAGATTCCGATCTAGAAGATACAACAAAGACATTGTTAAGACATCAAATTAATCCTGAAGTTATATAAAAAAATAATTTATAGGAATAAAGCTTAAATGTGCTAGGATTAAATTAAAAATCGTCTAAAAACAGAACTTTCATGATTATTTTATCGTGATTAACGTCGTGATTCTTATTGCTCTTTCTCCCACACACAGAAAAATATATACTATATACAAGTAAATATTACTTGTTTCAAGTATTTCATAAGTTTATATATCCGCAAATCTATCATAAGTTCATCATAAGCATCAAATTTATTCAAAATATATTCTGAATCCTAATAAATTTAATATTTCAATCAAGAATATTAAATTATATAATTGAAAGAAATACATTAAATTTTTCTGATCTAATAAATTTTCTTACATTAAATTAACCATATCTGACTTTTCTTCGATAAAATTTTATAATATTCTTCAAAAGAAAATATTTACTTGTTTTGAGTACACATGATAATGAGTATTTCTAAAATTTGTGACAAGTCTATTTTAAGACTATTATTAAGAAAATATTCTTTGTTAAAGATAACTGTTATTTAAAAGAAGTAAAGTAAACTGAGTAATCATTTTACTTAGCAATAAAATAATATTTTTCTGTGTGTATTCTCGTGGTGAGATCAACATCGCGTTAAATGGACATTAAAGATAGATCTTACTCAAGGACGATCGCGCCCGTGACAAATAATTCTCGACGGAATTAAGCTTTATCGATAGTATAAATGCGTAGCTGCGGCGATGCTGCATGTCTCTGCTTGGTCGCGATCGCACACACAATTTTGCGCTCAAACTTAATTTATCAAAGCCAGACAACGCCATCGAGTAGCTCGGTGAACATTGACGCTCGAGATAAACGTCATGAATTACGAGTCGACTGACAATACGTATTCATCGCATCCAAGATTGGATCATTAGAGAGAAAAAGACTGGACGGATTAAAACATTCAGAGAACCTGTTCCTTCCCCGTCCGATTATGTTGTTGGGTTTTATATTTGTATTCGAGAAATATGTACCGTCGGACGATCAGATCATTTATTGTCATAATAAATAAACCTTATAAAAAAATTTAATAAAATTGATGAGACAATTATTATCTGTTTCAGCGATTTTTCAAAGAACATCGATATCGAGAGGTCAATTAAGGATTCAAGGCGTAGCGACCTGCCTTTACCTCTGTATGGATTCCTGTGGTCTACTTTACGGCTCGGTAAGTAAATTCTTTCTTTTTGAAAGAAAACTTATTTATTTTTATTTAACGCGGATACGCAAAGATCTTATTTTCCGAATATTTTCACAGTGCAAAATATAAAAAACTATCGCACAAAATCAAATATAAAAATGGAAAGTATAATATATGCTACCAAAATTTCAACATTAATTTAAATTTAAATTATATTTCTTGTTGTCTCTCAAACATCGCAAATAAAGCAAAAAAAAAAAAATTTTAAAAAAAAAAAAAAAAAAAAAAAAAAAAAAAAAAAAAAAATGCCCAAGTTAAAGTTTTTTCACATTGTTCGAATATTGATCACCTGGAGAAAGCCTTCGATTAAAATTGACTTCTCTTGCTTGCGAATCTGACGCATGCTTTTGCGCAAAGAATTTTTTTTCGCGTTAAAAAACATTGCATATATAAAATATAATTATACATCAGCCAATTTCTAATCCAAGCTCCAATGTTGGATTCGATAATAATGTACAATTGCCTTCAAAGTATTTAGAATTTAATGATAATCTCAATGCGTTATATTTCAGTGTGTTTGCTTCACTTCTAGTAATTGCGGATAATTTTCCACAATGTTTAGTAATATCCCATCGATATATGTTCTCAATTGCGCGTTTACTTCTTGCTGTTCCTTCAAGGCTTGTTTCAACTGTAACAATTTGTAGAGATTAATCAGATTGTTTTAAAAATGCATATACAATAAAGATTGTAAAATTTCAGATTAATCTCAATACATACTTCAGCCATTGTGCATGGTTCGCCAAACTCTGCTTGGCCATCAATCTATAAAATGTTTAGAAAATCAATGTTAATATTAATTATTTTCTTTAGGATTGTCGATTGATGTATCGTAAATAACCAGGTATTTAAAATTACCTGGTCTGGATTCATGCCGGCCAACAATTCCACAGCGAGACTAGGACCTTTCTCAGCATTATTGTTACAAGGATTCAGCATCAAAAGTTCACGACCTGCCTGCAGCGCCGCAGCAGCCTGCAGTTCGTCTCGAGATTCTTCCAAGCCTACGAATCAATGAAACATGACATAAAATCTCTTGGAATCAAGGTTTATATTTATAACTTCACGTATATTTCAATATTAAGAGAGATTAAAATGTAGTCTCTTTTTTTCACCATGAGAGAAATTCTAAATCAGATTAAAAGAAATTGTCGAGAGACGAACAAGTATGATTATAATGATTCATTGTTACAACAATGAACATACTTTTATTTCGAGCCTGAAGTTGAACCACCTGCTGTACCAATTCTTCGAGCCTCTGTTGATCCTCGCTTCGTAACGAAAGTTCTTCTCTCATAACGTCTAACTGATGATGAGCCTCGTTAGCTCGGCTTATCGCGTGACGTTCACTTTCGCGCGCGGCGTCCGCTTCCCTCCTGGCATCCCGAAGATCGTTTTCGAGTCGCGTCTTGTCCGCCCTTGCTCTCTCGAGCTGCTCGCGTACTCTCGCGATTTCATCCCTCAGGCTGGAACTGTCCACTTCCGCAGCCTGCAGCTTAATGGCATAATTTTCCAGTTGCAACTGTCGCTCGCGTTCCAAACGGGACGCCCATTCCCGATGCCTTCGTTGCTCGGTCTGTAATGCAGACAAAAAGGTTCTTATATAAGATTCTTATATAAAAAATATCGTGATTGAAACGAGATTGCGTGAATGAAAACTCTGTTTTGAGAAGTATATCTCTTCAGAAGTATATATATTCATCTTTTATTTTTACTTTAGTCTACAAAAAAACCTTGAAGAATATAGAATCAAAAATCACGTAAAGTTTATACAAAATGCAAATGTTAATTTGCATCTTACAAGTCAATGCTATTTTATTTTAGATACAGCTTCGGCCTATTTACGGCGAATAGACAAAATGACTCACCTGAAGCCTCTCCTCGGCCCTCGTTTCGGCATCTTTGGCCGCCTCCTCGAGCATTAGTATGCGCGCCTGTAACGTCGCATTTTCCTGTTTCGCTCGAGCATACCTCTCTTCGCCGACCGACTTAGTATCCGCTAAGGCATCCATTTGCTCTTGAATCATTTGAACCTATGGCATTTAGAAGATGATTTTAATGTTCCGCGTAACAATCGCGAGATTATCGCGTTTGCCATTCACTCGAGAGAGTCTCTCTAGAGCGAGTCGTTCCCAAATTTCTTTTTTTGCGGTATACTTGAATGCCAAACAAATGAAGTATTAATGAATAATAATAATGAAATTGTGCTCTGCTTTCGACGTTATTAAAAAATGTTGTTTAATATATAACACGATGGGAAAAATAGAGATTTGTTTACCTCTATTCTATTTTACCTAACTAACAATGTGTTTTTTAAATGCGCTTAAAAATAATGCGTAGAACTGAAAGATAAATTAATGAGTCACATATGTAATTAGATGAAACTGCGGAAGAAGATTACGACGCCTTCGCTCTTTTTTCTCCGGATGTCATGAGAGGTCCAAAAGATGACAACCGAAAATATGACGAGGAAAGAAAATATGACGTTGATCGACATTACGGATGTATATGGGTAGCACGTAGGCGCAGAATCGCGCGGAGAAAGTGAATTGAAGAAAACGCAAACTCCCTTTAAAGAGCGTTGTACACGTGCCCACGTCACCGCGACTATCAATGGAAATGCAGGTATCAATGGAAACGAATAGAACACTATTTATGACCTTTTTTTACTCGAATAGCTCGTTTCGCAGATAAATCTGAGAAAGCACAATAGAAATATCTCGTCTTTGCGGAATTCATTCTCTTGATTATGTTTCGCAGTTATTATGTCATAATATTGCCGATACTGCGTGTAATATTTCTCACTCATTTTATATCGCCCGCTAAAGATAATCAAGTTGATACGATTCGGGTAGACATTGGAAGATATACCGCCGTAAACTCGTTACAGTTGCTATTCTCCGTGTGACGTCTTTCAATAATCGAGATAACGATGCGAATATCACTAAAGCAATGCGAAATATATCTCTAGTGCGAGAATGAAATGGATATATATTTGTTTTAGATCCTGAAGCTGCATGCAAATAGCATATATATTTATTTGCAAAAAATAGATACGCGATATATGTATACAATAGTCGCATACGTAAATACATTTTTACGCGCCCGTGACGCGGGAAATCGAACTTTAAGGGAATTGAAAACCCTCGATCAAGGATCGTCGGATATTTCCCGCCCGAGAGATATCTGCTCGTCTTACTTGCTCGCTGAGCCGGTGCCCGCGACGACGAGGTGGCTGTCGATCGTTGCGTGGCGGCGATGTTGCCTGGTGCCCTACGAATTGGAATTGACCTTCCCACAGGTCATACTCGAGGCCGGCGCCAGGCCCGGAGGACGGCCCCTCCCCGGAAAAGGACGCGCGGACGTCGCGATCGCACGGATCGATCGTCTCTTCGCAAAAGTTCAGCTCCATCGCGGCGGCGGTGTCTCGCGTGTAGACCCGGTTATCGCGTCACGTCATCGCCTGTATCGCGAGCGCACTTCGTCATCCCCGCGCGGATTCCTTTTTGTCGCCGCTGCCGCCAACGTCGTCGTCGTCGTCGTCGCCGTCACCTTCGTCGCGACGCGCGACCGCGCCGCGATAATACGCATCGAAGATGCTTACTTTGGGCTTCCTTCCGCAAGAGAGACACGCGCACTTCCACAGCAACGTCCTATGCGGTTTCTACGAGTCAGGAATGTATTCCAAGCCCGTCGTCGTTCGTTCGCGTTCGTACGTTTCTCTCTCTCTCTCTCTCTCTATATCTATATCTCTCTTCCTCTCTATCTGATCGCCCACCGCAGGCCGGGAGTAGTCACCGCCGAGGCTATTTGTGCGCTCCATACCACGTGCCGGCTAACTCCGTACTCTTGACAGTTCCGTCGTATTACGCCGTACGCTCTATAGCCCGCCCTTACGCCTTCTTTTCTCACTCGCGACACACATTTGCGAGGAGAACTTCGCTGGCGAAGTTATGTCTCCGCATAATATGTCTCCGAAACGGAAATCGATGTGTTATCCGTTAGGCATACATTCCGATGCCATAGACACGCGAAGCGCGTAACTATATTTATTCGCGATGACGGAATCACGATAGTCTCATTTTTCCGCACGGAAAGCTGAAGTCATAAAGTTACTCCGAACTCGAAATTCTCGAGCGGACTCGTTCTTTTTCTTTCAAGCGTATATTTTCAAATCATTCTTTTTATATTCAAGATGTGTCATTTTGACATAGTACTTCACATTACGCTGAGTGAGTCGTTGCATATTTGTGAATGCCAGCGATATCACGTCGATAAGCGCTTGCCGATAATAACAATATACGCCCCTTTAATTACTCCGGATGTGCACATTCGACTCTGATTCTTGTTGATGATCAATCAATAACAGTAAATGTTTTCCAGACTAATAATTGAGACTGATAACTCTCGCTTTGCCGTCCGCTTGTGTCATCGCAAATGTGTCAGCACTCACGTGTCGAAGTTGTACATTGCACATGTAAGGGCACAATGTCGCGTACGCTTTTACAAAAAGCATGTATTATCATCGTGTCATCGTCGGAGATCGCACCGCGCCTAATTTTCATTTCCTGTAGATATTATATATATATATATATATATATATATATATTCGATCATTACACGTGACAATCTAATATTCTTGTTTCCAGTTGACAACTCTTTTCCGCACACTCGCTATTTAATATGTCATCAATATTCGTTCACAATTTTTCTCAATTAATATCATTTTTTTTTCTAGAAACTCACACAAAGAATTTGACAGCCCATTCGATGAAAATTGTTTGGATTATATTCCAGCCGCATTATTACGAATTATTTTCTTGTAAGCAGAAAATGTGCACTATCGAATCGTTATAGGAGATCACGTCGAGCCCAATGTCCAATTTTTGTAAGCCTTGCATGCCAAGTACACGATCCATCCCGCGATTAATAGAAAACTCACGAAGAGCCAGCCTGTCCATCCGAGTAGATTTGCGAGCTGCGCTCGACAGCCCATGCGAATATTTCGTTCTGCGTCGAAAACCTTACGAATTTGCTTGCAGTCGTAAATGTGACTTGTGAATTTTGCCAGCAATCGTGATTCATATTTCTACGCGGTGCAATTCCGCCAGATTTACGACTCCAATAAAAGGGTCCGAGTTTTTTTTTCAAGCTATACAATTTAAATAGAGTCTTTTACTATGATCTATTTTACATGAGCACGTATGCGAGCTTGCCAATTTAATTGACGACTCATTGCGAACAACGTCATTATCGTATATATAGGCTGCGTTCGGGGAGCACACTTTTAGCGCTATGAGCGTGTTTTGTCCTTGTTCAACTTTCAATAAGTAACAAAGATAGAACGACGCTGTTAGCGCTAATAGCGTCTCCCCGAATGCACCCATAATATATTCAATATGTATGATTGGCATCTGTTTCTCTTACACGAAATTATCTACAGAATGTGAAATTTCGCATAAGCTATATATGTATATATGTGTACATACACGATATCCCGGAATTAACTAGAAATAGAGACACAGAGATCGATATAATTTTGTATGATGGCATCAGATCAGACACGCAGATCTCTACATTTATTTATAATAAATGTAAACGCGACAATTCACGGAAACTTCTCTTTTATTGAATTTGTAATGTTTTAAAAATATTTTTTTCTGTTTTAATTAATTTTATTTATTTTGTGTATATCACATATATAAATGCTTTATTTTTTATTTAATCGTATCGATATATCTCGGGTTATTATATATAATTAAACGTCATTTCTTTATAATTTATTTCTAAATTGAGCTCGATAAAATTACACATAACACGGATTCTTTTTGCATCTTTTTCGCGAAACGCGAAGACGTATTGTTTGACAACAATAGACATTCTTCCCAAAAGTAATTACTTGCTTTCGTTGGCAGCTCAATATTGGCTCATTTATGCATATCTCGCCTGATTCTTTCCTATTTTTTGTCCTTCATACGCCCTTCAAACTTTTAAATTCGTAAGTATACGGTGGATCGATCCTGGTCTCATGAATATCGCGTCCTGCTTTCTCTCTTCATTTTCGCTCCCGTACCGATCGTCGTCATCGTCCTCCTCATAATCAGGATTGACGAACGCCCTCGTTATTGTCGTATCTGTCGGCGAAGTGGACTCGCCGCGATCCTCGGTGCACCGGTGAAATTCCGCGGAACGGTTCACATTATGAGCCGCGTCTTGCTTCGTCCCCGTCCTCGCGGTCTATATACGAGCCGAGAAAGATTGAAGGATCAGCGCGTATTCCTCGGGAAATAGACCGCTTTACAGGACTCGGTCTCCGCGATTATAGCCCTGTACATAAGATGGGCGAAAAAAGTACGACGTGCGTTATCTGTGCGTGTTACTGTGTTTCTCTTTCTATCGAATATTCTCTCGAGTATATCGGGAACACGTTAGTCGATAAGAGATACAGAATTTGCATTTTGTTTATCTTTTTTCAGGGGCGGATCCGTGTAGAAATTATCAGGGAAACCTGAGCCTTCTCTAAAAGTTTGTGTCACCGGATCGTGAAATGAGAGATATCGCAACTTGCAGTCTTGGAATAAATTGGTTTTTTCGTACGTTATCGGCAAAGTTACGTTATTCGGAAAAAGGATTGTACATTTTGATGAAAAGTTGTACAAAATATACAAATGTATATGTATGACTTTAATTAATTTCAGGTCAATCGAACAAGTCAGTATCCGCCCCTGTCGTTATTCGTATGTAAAAGTTAGAATATATATGTAAAATAATTAAATCGAGATAGATTTAAATTTGCGACGCCAATTTCTTTCATACAGTCCGATCGAATATAATTTTGCAAGACCAGGTAGATTGCGAAATCAAAATAATCAAGAGACGAGATTACCTGTGGCTGAAACCTGCGCAAGCGTAGCCAAGCGGCGAGTTTTCGTCGGTTTTCGCGGGAAAAATTACGATAAACGATCCAGATCAAAACGGTCACGAGGAATATGAGGAAGAGGATAACTGGCCAAGACCAAATCGCAGTCTCCTCCTTGGCGACGTCACGTTGGACGTGACACGGCGGCGGCGGATAAAACAAGCCTGGACAGTGGTACGCCGCGTACGGATCGTACGGAGGATAACGAGCATAGGGAGGAGGAAGATAAAACGGATGAGGGGCGAGATGAGAAGCCTGTACCGCGGGATGCTGATGGTTCCTGTCGTGATCTCGATGCGCGTCGCTGGAAGATCGCCGGGAACGTGTCGCGCACATTGACAACGATTCTGAAGATTCAGATGCCAATCATTTAAGATTCTTGCATTCTTGATAGTAAATACAAACCGATAATTTTGATGAAACTTCCTAAATAGGTTAAGTATAGAGAAACTAACGCGAAACCTGACTCGAAAAGTGACAAACGGATTTTCGCGTTGATGCTACAACTCTGTTCGCGTCGTACTTTGACTTTTTTTTTTTTACGTTTCAGCACACTCAAAATTCCGTTCGTTCGAAATAGAATAAAGTAGAAACTACAAGAGTTTCTTGTATTTATGCGAATCTCCGATTTAAAGTAAGGGTAAATATTATTTGTATACAATCGCGCGCGTATCTTACTCACTTTGTGGCTGAGATCCATCACGTCCTCCAAAGATACGTCGCTGTATACATCATCCGTAGCATCGTAGTTCGAGCCCATTCCCGTGCTGTTGAAGCTGCCACTGCGATAAAGCTGGCTGCAAATGTCACGTCAGAGAGGAGTTCTTTAGAATTCCGCGAAAAAATTGCCGATTTTGAAACAAAATTTCCGAATTACTCTATTTGGAAATATTAAGCATTCACGTATGATAATCTATAGAAAGTATAAATTTTGTAAGAATAATGTATAATAAAAATATAAATATTTCAACTTGAAAAAAATAATTAATTACCAATGATTATTAAGCAAATAACGATTTGTGTGAAAGTTCTTTTAATTAAAAGATAAATTGTGAAAGTTCTTGCAATTAAAAGATAGGTTTTCTACGTATTTATTTTAGTTTATATTAAAAATGAAAAAATAATTTTCCAATCTTTTTTTTTCCTTTTTTTTTTTCTTAAAGTAGTTTAGATACGTTTTTCTCTTGGATTATTGTACGTGTAGGTTTGTCAAATGTTTCCCATTTTAGCGGATGGATAAGGCACGTAATTCGGAGGAACAACGGTAGCATGGAAGGAAGCGCGAATATCGAAGTATCGCGGGTATGAAACATGAGTAACGTAACGCCCACGTTTTAGAAAGTTTGTCGATTCGAGTTCCGTGAAAGGAGCGAGACGTCTGGAATTATTAGCGCTGATGCAGAAGCATCATCCTACGGCCGGTGAACTCTTTTGTCCGGGTTACTCTTTTCCTTTTGCGTGCGTTGGGGCAATTAAGGCGCGAGAGATAGCAGAAAGAAAGAAACAATTATTTTCGGAATGCGCATAGAAACGCTGATCAATTGAATGCACCGATTTTAACAGACATTAACAACAAAGTTTTAGCACGTCAAGATTTAAATCCTCAAGATTTAATTCGTACCCTTTAAAAAAGATATCGATGATTTGATTCTTTTAAAATTAATTACTACTAAAATTTCTTTATTGCAGGAACATGGTTGAAATTTTTTATACGGATCAATTCAAATTTTATAGAAATATATATATATATAATCTTTTTTTACCTCGCCAAGGCGTTGGAGCTGAGTCTTTTTCTGCTCGAACTGTAAGCAAATACGAAAATATTTTCTTTAACATATTTACATATATATGTATACAAATGTATTTATAGATTACTTTGGAACAAGTTCTATCGCGTTCCTAACTTGTTGATGGCACAGTGCCAAATTTCATAATCCGATCTTTACTAAGCCAAATTGTAGCTTCCGTAACAGAGCTGTGAGCAATTGCGATAAATATACACGGATAATAAATTATATACATATATCGCCAAGCGTAGCAATCGAATTCGCTTGCTATCAAATGCCGCGTAGTAACTACTACTATTCATTATTATAAATAATATGAAATATACAAATTCTACGAATATATATGTATTACGAACCACATAAGAAAGTAATTTCTTTCTATAACTCAATATCCTATATTTCTCGCGATATTTTGAGTAAATTAAAAAAATTTTTAAGACTAAACAAAAATAATCCATTTATAAAGAAACAAAAATAATTGTACAATTCTGTTTCAGTCCGGCGCTTCGAATGTCAACAAATTGCGATAAAAAAAACAGGAAGTGATTGTTTGGATAACAATATTCTCTCAAGAGCACTTCTCTCAAGAAATCTAACAAGTTCCTTATCTCTCTTGTTGTGCGTTAACGCGAGCCGATTATTTAACGTCGTCAGTCGCTTTCCCACGAGACTTTTTTCACACGCAACGCAGCGCCGAGACACGTCATTGTCTCGCCGACGCAGGTTTTAAGAACGACGGAAATTCTCTCCCCCGGAGATGGAAATTATGCATCTACGTCCCGCTCGCTCTTGACCAAAGTTGTGTTTCTCTTACCAAGGAGGCGTTCTCCGCAGCGAAGTGCGCAGCCAGGAATGTCTTCCAACGGTGGAGTTCGGGCTTCTCGGATTTCTACAAAATTAAGGAATGTAATTATAGCGAGTATCGCTGCAATCTCAGTCTGCAAGATCGGCGAAATTTTATACAACAATACGATCGTCACGCGAGACGTTCTAGTACAAACGAATGCGCCTTTAAGGAAGAATTGGACGAATCAGCATACGTTAAAAGTTAATAAATCTAATACATTTTGATATTTATGAAATTGACATGGCGCAGAGCACTTTATACTTTTGAAATTAATAATTAATTTATAAGTTAAACTAAAGATTTATTTTGTAGAATATAATTTAATCTCAAAATCGTAAATGTTATTTTATATCGAACTTGTTTATAGTGACTGTACCACGATTTTAATTATATAATACAATAATTCGTGAAAATAATTTTAATTCTACAGAGCAAATCTTTATTTTAAATTACAAATTAATTATTGATTTTATATTTTAAAAGGCCAAAAATGTTTGGCGCAATGTCAAATTCATAAATCTCGAAATGTATTAAATTTATGAACTTTTGACGTAGCGTCCAGTTCCTCCTTAATGTATATGAGAATTTCCATCTTTTTATAAAAAAAACTCTTTAGTAGATATGAAATAACTTTGCGCGGAACTAGTTAAATATTTTAAGCTAAAGTTAAGGCAAATATGACACGTACAAAAAAGTCGCCGTTCTAAAGAAAAAGTGTGACGCGATTAGTATAGAATAGTATAGGAAATCACGCGGTTGAGATTTTAACTGTCGAGAATCCTTTATCGCACATATACACACACATACAAGTATCGCAAAATGGCACTCTTAAAAATACATTGCCATTATTACGTAACTTGTGTGACCTGCGCATACAGATAGCAAGTCAGTCGGTATTGTTCCAAGGTGATAGACATTGTATGCAACGTTGCTCTTATATAATAACTTATCCCGCGTAATACGTGTACGGGCATGTTTTGAATTACATGATTACTAGATTTTAATGTTTCTGCCGTATATTCAGCTTCGGAAAGAACTCGCTACGTTCCATAACTAATGTTACGTATCGAGCGAATAACGGCAGGAAGCAATTGACATAATAAAAGGCCAAGCTCGCTATGCTCTCTTCTTGCCTAGATTAGAGCCGTAAAGCGATCCCGAATTACGGATACTTATTCATTCGGTTTGAACTTTCAAATATCTAACTTATTGAAGTGATTTGAAAGAGAGTTTCTTCTTAAAACTATTTTATTTATTAATATTATTAATTAAATCTTTGATTTTATAGAAATAATTTATTTTCACATATATATATAATTAATCTATTTATACCGTAAAAACTATTTATAGAGTAAATACTATTTATACCGTAAAAAAGTCCGTGAATCACATTCTTTTTTCCTTTAACATTTCATTTTATTGTCGAATGAATTTATTCAATACGATATATCTTGCGTATCTTCACTTTATAGCCGCGAAATGATTTAAATATCAATAAAACGTCAATAGATTTTTAAGCCGAGGAAACGAATACAAAAAAATATCGCAAAGTCGTTTATTTTATCACAATGTATGTATATGTGTATGTGTCTTCCACAGAGAGCGATCTTCCACAATGAAAGCTCGTCGAGATCTTCTCACCTGCGAGAATTGGTACCGGTTGGCGAGGGCGCGGAACTGCTACCGCCCGGTGAGTCCGGTCCGTCGTCGACAGAGTCGCCTTCGACGGACCCGAAGCCCTCGTAGCTCTCCTCCTCGTCGTGGCAGCCGATCTTGATCGTGGCGACGTCGGACGTAGTTTCCTGATGATGATGATGATGATGATCCGGACTCGCCGACGAATACCGTCCGGAATCCGAGAGATGCGAGATGACGAGATTGCGCAGGTCGGTCGACATCGAGAGAGAAGCCGGCTCGCTCTGACTCCACTCCCGGTCGACGCCGCTTGTCGCGCGGCCCTCGTCGTCGCGCGACGACGCCGCTCCGCCGTCGTTGGCCGCGCCGCCGTCAGCGGTGGACGTGACGTTGGCGTTGGGCGTGCGGGAGCTCACCATCCTTCGCGACGGACCTCCTCAGGATCCGAGCATGTGTCGACGGAGGACGGAGATCTCATCCGCCGCTGCTGAAACACCAAGTCCGTGAGTCAGGCCCGAGGTATGCCAGGAGCGCGTCCGCTTCGGGATTAACTAGCGGTGCAGCGGAAGAGGCAAAGAAAGAGAGACAGAGAGGGAGGGAGATGCGAGTCGAGTCGTTGCCCGCGAGAATTTCTTCTCCCTGGATCAGGAGTCGGGGTCGAGGTGAACTTGTATCGCGCGATCCTTTTTACATACTTTTTAACTTACGTCGCTGGTCTTAAGAGGTAAAAAATTGTCAACTCTTTTGTCCCTTACTCGATATAATGAGAGGAACAAAACTTGCACCGTGAAAGATCTCTCGATATGTAGTTAACAGTCTTATATTGTATATTTTACTATGTTCTATTTACATTGTTTATATTAGTTCCAGATAAAAATACGTAGTAAAAGCAACATTTAATTTTCCGATTTCCATTTTGAAATAGTTCAAGCATACTTTCTCCTGTTTTTCTCGCTTATATGACTTCTTTTTGCAATGCTGGTGTCAACTGATTGATGATGAAAAACCGATTATATATTAACGAGATAAAACAGTTGCATAGAATGGGATTGTAGCGAGATTTCGCAATTTCTCAGCAGAAACCTAACGTTGATAATTAATGACAACATCGAATAATAAATTTACATAAAAAAACCCGACAAATTTCTAAGAAACGTTTTCCAGGTTTTTCCGTCGTCTGGACAATTATTGAAAAATTAAGCTGTAAATTTTCTCTTAACTATAAATGTTCTATCTAAATTTTAACAGAATTAACATATAATTCTCTTATATACATTATATTGCATAAAATTTAAACTGTGCAGCCGCTCGTTCGGCAAATAAAGCGAAGAAAATCTCTTACAATCTTTTGTTCTCTTCTTGCACAATGTCTGCTGATATCGACTTGTAAACGGCCCGGCCAATGAGGTAATGCAGTCCCGTACGGATCATGAAATGACGGCGAGATCTCGTCAGCTTATTAAACGCATGCATTCTAGAGACGCGAAGTAAAAGCAAAGCGTGAGAACTACGGCAGAGAAGTCATGGTACAGTGAATAGCGAGAGAATCGTCGAAGGAGAGAACAACCCGCCTAGATGAATTATTTACGATTTTGCCTTCGCGTTGTTACGTGATTGGGAATTATTTACTCTCTTATCTCAATCTTTCCGCGTGAGTCATGCGGCTACATTAAGTTTCTAAACTTTGAAGATTTCATCTCATTAGCGTAAGCCGCGGGTGTGTAACTTTCGTGCATGCGTATGCGTGAATTCTCGGCGCATTAAAAATGTAAATGTGTCTTATCGAGATTATGATGCACCGTGTGTATTTCATTTTGTGGCATATTAGTCAGTCGGAAGAAACAAAGCGATTCTTTGCCGTTTAACGCGAAATTGCTATCGGTGAATCAGCGAAAAAGCATAAAGAAAGGATTTCGCGCTAGATAGAATGACGATTAGCACGATTAAAGGTCGGATGTACAAAGTATCTCGCAAACACAGTCAGTTTTAACAATTCTAATTTTAACGACAAAGTTTTTTTCGAACATTTTTAAAGTGTAAAACGCTTTAAGCTTGCGGCAAGCATCTTTGTTGATTTAAATTTAGATAAATTTTGCTTTATGAGAAATTTATTTTGCATTTAGATAAAAATAACATTAATATTAAATTAAATATTAAATAATAAAAAGACAAAATCACCAATGAGATGCTAGGAAAAAAAACAAAATAGGCCTCCTATATAGTATCTCCCTTTCTACAACGAGCGCGTGTTTGTCTATCGCCACGCTCAGTCCATTCTATATAAAATAAATATTAAATAATAAATAAATATATATATATATATATATAAAGGTATATTATAAAATTAAATATAGAAGTATAATAAATAATACTCCTACAAATTTTCTTACAGGAAGATCGACTATTAACTGTCTACTAAAGCAGCTATCATTAAAATTATGGTTTTGGAACAGCCTGTGGTTAAAGATGAAAATGTTCTGGCAGCGGTGAAGCGATACGGATGAAGCATCGGCAGATCGCATTATCGATCGATTGAACGGTACTGTTTTCACACGTGACTCCGTAACACATGTGTGCCATGAAAGGCGGCCGTCAAGTTCAAAAGAGATTTTAATGTGCGAGATTTAATTGTATTATCGTGAGCTGGAATATTGCCAAGTGTTCCCCCTTTCTTTATCTATCTCTGTCTCTTTCGAAATAGCACTTGTCTATATTTATCGATATCAAAGTATAGCGCAACGTGTCGCCTAACGGGAGAAACTACCACTCGAGAGATCACAGAGTCCGAATTTGATTATTCATGGGTCTTTTTATTTTGAAAAGTATTAAGAAAGATAATAAGTTTGTTTTTTTCATCCTCTTTTTTCTTTCCAACGTTTTAGAGACAAAGAAATTCTACATTTTTTTTTTTTTAATTTTCGTTTGTTTAAAGTAAAATCTCCTTTAGATATTAATACGTCTATAATAAGTGTTATAAAAATTTCTAATAATTAATATATATAATTTTGGCTAATAAATAAATTATTGAAGAAATAGGTATGAACAATAATAGGTATATATGTGCAAAAAAGATATTGTTTTATTTTCAAAAATAAAGATTGTAGATAATTAAAAAAAAATATCTTTATGAATGTGTAGGACGTTTCAACGTTAACTAATGTTGAATTAGCATAAGCTAAGTATAAACTACATACTTTATACTTATTGTTAATAATTCTCATATGATCAATTTTTTTCATTTTATATCTTTAAAATAAAATAAACTTTATTCTTTAAAATAAAACAACCTGTTTTTGCCTATTATTGTTCGTATTTATTTTTTCAATACAACGAGTTTTTATTATTTAACTTATTAAAATAAATTATTCATTTTAGGAAAAATTTTGTTGCAAAAATCAAAACTGCGTTTTGTGCTTAACATCTTTTATATCTTTACATGGTATAATGGTAAGAAAACATTTTTATATAATTGTAATACCATTGCATGTGATTTTCGTGTTTCTTAAAAAATAAAGATTTCAGATATAAAATACTTGATATACTCAAGGCGATAAAGTACGAAACTATATTAATAAAGATCGATCGGACGAGAACAGTGTTCCTAATCGAGGACGTTGACGCTCAAGGAGAAGGAGGATAACGAGGATAATCGGACAAAAAGCAAAGATGAAAGATTAAATATCGCGCAGTCATTTATAAAAGTATTATTCAAAGTAAAATCATTCAAGGTTATTCGTTCGGCGAGAGAGGATTAATGGTGAATACTCGCGTTACAATGATTTGGAAATCGAAAATAAATCAAGGAGAGATTCGTACATAATGCACGGCGCACTCTACGATATAGTCTATCATACATTTATACTTCCACGTAAATATCCCGAGTTACTGACTAGAAACCGATAACTGCGTATACTGTACACATTCGCTCCTTAAGTACATAGCTTAAATACTAACTTTATATTTACAGCACTTGCTTCGCAAATCAATAACTAATGCAAAGATATCAAATATTGAAAAAAAAAACAGTCATTGATGTGCGATACAACGTTTCTATGTTTATGCTTGAAGCTATTGCACTTGACACACACTCATTTTCACATCTCAACGTTTGAGCATTGGTGACGCAAAGAAAAACAAGTGGAAAAAGAGAAGGCAATTGTTGCTTATATAAGTACATATACATGTACGTTCTCGAAAAAAAGAAAACTATGATAAAATTATCAAAGTTGAGGCATTGCAGCTTGTTGGTAAGTCACTATATACTTATTTTTAATACTCTCGCACAAGAGTCATATATTACCTGATTCGCGTCGAGTTCACATTTTTTTTTTGCTTAATTGTCAAACGATACGCGACGAAATCGGCCTACAATAGTGTAATCTCGCTTGGCGTTTATTATACGAGCTGTTTACCAAGCGCGCGCGCGCGCCGGGAGAGGACCAGCGTTTCGGTCTCCAGGCACTTGTCACTCGGAACGGAATGCGTAGACGCGTTTCGAATCGGCAGAGAGTCGAGAATTCCTGTCCGCCTATTTAGAGTAGACTGGGAGAAACGTATATATTTAACATGCGCGCGAGAATTTCCGATATCTCATCTTTGTTCCAACGGCAACACGAATATCCAGCATCCGTGCAGCCCTATGGACCAAATCGCTCATCAACGAGCTGATTAAACATCATCCGGAGCCGATTATTCTCTCACAATATTTATTTTGATGTTATATACGATTTGCTTTTCATATTATTCGTTGTGAACTTGAACTTTGTTTTCCCTACTTGTTACATTTCTTATCAAAGGTGGCTTTTGTTTCTGATCAAATATACTTTCTAATATTGAATTACTTTATCTCTGTGATAACATGTGGAAAAAGAATATAATAATATAATAAAAGATTCTTTCTTTTTATTTGAATAAAATATTATGTATGTTTTTTTTTTAAATATTTTTTTTTTGCCTTTTTTTCAGGCGATTTCGCAATCGGTGTATTCGTGTGAGACGAATACAGAGTTGAAGGATATGAAACGCTAGACTAGATCGAACGAGCACGCTCTATTTCCAAACTGGACACGCTCATCATATTGCATATACGTCGAAATTAATAACCCTCTCTAAGGTTACATATTACACAAAGAAATGTTATGAAAGTGATCCAAGATCTGTACAATAGAATTTACAGTGTTAGCGACATTAAATATCTCACTCACATCCGTTTGCACATTCGCGCGACATCAACAAAAAGGTAAAACGAGTGTCTGTCTCTCTCTTTCGTCAAATTTAGATGTACAATATTTATCACATCAATGGCACATTCTTTGGTTAATCTGAAGCCGATTTTTCATTAGTAAAAGTATTCAAACATCTATCTCCTGATCAAAAGTAGGAGTGAATCGCGATCAAAAGAAGGATGTTCCTTTGCGAACAGTTTTATAAAATTTTATCTGCGATAAAATTCTGTTTTGAAACTTAGTTTGAAAAATGTTTACTGGTCAAAGACGGAAAAATTGATATTTTGCCTTGAGAAAGGACCAAATTGACCAAAGAATTCTCCATTGCAGGTCCAGCGAAGGATCATTCTAGGACACATCGAAACCGGCACGGAGGTCGAGTGAAATTCCTGTAAATTGACTCACCTTACGTCGATCCTGCGTTGTAGCAGCACAATAACGGCGACGTATCCCGTATATCACAAACCACTATCACCTGTGCTGGCACGATAGAGACCTACCACGCGACGCTACACAACAACGTGACGCTATTGATAGAAGGAAAAAAAAGAGACAAAGAGGGAGAGAGAAGGAGAAAAAGGAGAGGAACTAAGAAGCAGGCAGGTGGTGAACGAGAAACGCGCGCGTTCGGGATAACGGTGCGACGATCGGCGGCGACGAACTGAACGTAGGTAGGTTGATAGGTAGGTAGATGGGCAGAGCCGCAACGCGAAAGCGAAGGAAACGCGGTCCCGATTGGAGTCACAGTGGGTACGCATGCGCTGGTCGTCCGGCTCTGCGAAATGCCAGTGCAAGCGGTATAAGTGTGTGGGTGTGTACGTGTGTACGGATACCCGACACTGCATCAGAGGTACCGCACAGGTGTGTGCGTCACGGTCGTACTCGCAGGTACGAGAAAGCACCAGTGTCGCTCAACCGTGTCTGTGACGCGAGTCCAATGTGTTAACACTGGTGCGACCGTGTTGGTGACCTACCTAAGGGAACCGTGACCCGTACCACCACACGCAGGCAGGTAGGTGCAGGTACTATTATATTGTGTTGGCGAAAGCTTTTTCTTTGGAAAAGAACGGAAAGAATTTTCCGTTTTTTTTTTCTTTTCTTTTCTTAATCTTCAAACTGTCCCAAAGATGAGAGCGCATACTCGCATAGAGAACTTCTACAAATAACATAAAAATATGAAAAGAGCCCGCTTTCTTTATCCTATAATGTGATTATTTTCCGATTTATCTATGTCCAGGCAGTAACCTTTGTAGTTCTATAATTAGACGCGTAGTATCAATAGGAAATAACTGTATTCTTTCTCTTTTTTGTTCATCTTTAGCAATCGATTTCGTATGGAAAAAAATAAAATTCCTCGAAGGAAAGCTTACGAATACGCCTCACTTTACGCGGCAACAGTTAAGTCTTTGCCGTCTGCTCGCCCTCGATGGTCTTCTTGTAGACCTCCTTGTAAACGAGCTCCTGCATCTGTATCCTGAGTAGCATCCTGCGATCGGCCGGCAGGGTCCTGATGTGCGGCAGCAGGCTCATCAGGAAGTAATAGTTATCATCGAAGCGATTGCCTTCGAGGGGATCGACGCCGGCGAGGCCGACGCCACCATCGCTGTCGCTCATGAGGACCTGTTCGGGCGAGATGTTCTGCAGCATCATCTCATTTTCCGCAAGATTGTCGGCGACATTCTGAAACTCCAAGTTGTCGAAGCTCTCCTCGGGTTCCCGCTTCACGTCCACCGTGCCACGCCTGCCGTGATGATCGCTGTCCAGTTTCAGCTGATGATGACCGACGTTACCGTCGCCGGCCATCGACAGCAGATGATCGGCGATCGCGTCCCGATCGTCGAGACCGCCGTCGATGCCGGATGTCGGGATGCCGTTCTCGGCCTCGCTCTCGCAAGGCTGCAGCTCGTCCTCGGTCTTGGCGACGCTGCGCTCCCAGATTGGCGGTCGCGGCAGCATCTGCTCCTTCAGAAACTGCAGGCTCTTGAAGTGGATCCATACCGGTCTGTTCCGATGGAACTTGCTCTTGCGATACACCTGGTCCTTCTTCAGCTCGGCGCGGAACGTGTCGCGCAAACCCTTCCATTTCGCCTTCAGCATCGGCTCTGCAAGCAGATGAGCGAAAGGCCGCTTTGCAGGCATAATGGAGCGGATTTTAAAAAAATTCATTATTAATGAAATGTAAATAGAAAAGAAACTAAATGTTTTGTTTTTTTTTCATAAAATGACATCAAGATGACTATCTGGGATACGAATATGTGCAATGTAAGAAGCAACATATGATTTTACTCTGATCATATATTATATGCGAGCATATTTTCAGCAGTTTCTTTTATTTCAGGATTATATTGGATCCAATCTATGAATAAAAATGTAAATATCGAGGAGTATTGGATGGAAGATATAGATTTTTGTATTTAATAAAGCGCGGGATTATTGACTGCATTCGCACGCGCGCATCGACGCATAATCTACGCATGCTCCACCGACCGGGTAACTCGTGCATCCGTACTACGGTTTGCGGTTCGAACCTCGATCGAGGTTACGATCGAAGTATGTACATATGTGCGACGTGGGACCTCGTTCGATTCCGGAATACGTCGCAGGTAAAAGCATCCGGCGATCGTTGCAACGACGCGAATAATACGCTGTCAACGACAGCGACGTTCCACGAGCAAAAAGTGAGGTTAGATAAAATCAAAACCATATCTAGAGCGGATAGAATTAAAATATGGGTTGCAATCAGAAGAATGTAAAATAGTTGTGTGCGTGCGTGTGTGTGTGAAACGTGTTCGATGCAAGTACAATTTACAAGATTCATTTAAAATAAGAACGTCACTTTATTCTTGCACTGAAACCTTCATTTTTTAATCAGATCTGAATAATTAAGTTAATAATTAATTCCCAGTTAAAAATGAATCTCGTGAAAAAAAATCGCTTCCCCTTTTTGGTCAGGATTGTATGAATAAAAAAAAAAGTCATGTTTTATTCACGACGGAAACGTGACGCAAAAATAGAGCGATATCAGGAAAACCACGAAAGAATCCGCTTTATATTTTTAAATTCGAATTTGATTCAGTGAAATAATTTGATAAACAGAATTAAGAATGTTTGTTTTTCATCGCGAAACATACGATAAAATATTACCAATGTAATATAATTCGATTGCGCAAGAGATACAGGGTAATATTTGACGACGTAATACGTGGTGTGATATGATTTTTTTAAACACACAGAGTTCAAAGAGAACGTCGCACGATCTCGTACGATAATATATAGATGTAGGATTCTTCTCCGATTTCTCGTTATGGAGTTGCATAAAATTTCAAAGTTGTATCAAGGACTTAATCCAGACACTACCATAAAATACAATGAGAGAAATTGTGACATTAGGATATGAGAGAAAATAATCACATTGTGATAATTTTTATAACATAATTCAATCTCAAAAGAGAAACTTTGCCAAAACATCAAAGATGCATTTTCTTGGCTGCTTGGTTTTTCCAAGTTGTGAATTATTTATTTAATATTTATTATAAATATATATCTCTGTCTTTGTCTACATATATTCAATGTCATAACTTAATATATTGAATATGCAGAATATATCCTTAATTGTAATTTTTAGTAATAAAAAATGAAAATGTTATGCCTGTTAAAAAATGTTTATCTTACGAAAGCTATTCAGTTTTTTTCAGTACATTTGAAAGATAAAGTGGCTTTCTGGTTTTCCTTCGTATAAGAGAGAAAAGCATTAGAAAACGCATAAATGAAAAATCTTATTTTAGAAAGTTACAGCAAAAAGGATCTTTAAAATGTTCTCGTTACCTGGAATTTCGAATAAAGATACCTGGAAGATCGGGAAACTTTTTTACAAGATTTGAGCAGACACCCTGGTTATATACAGTTTTCTCCTAATTTTGCAATTCGTCATTGCAAGTTCATCCCAGTGTCACAATTAACGCGATCGAGTTTCATATCCACGCTGACAGAGAGAATGCAGTCGCGCGAGCAGTCGACGCATGGGCGAAGGGATGATGCGTCGCGGCGAGCTCGCCCCTTGTACGCGCGCGAGGAACACATACTGGGGAGGTTGAATATCGCCGCGATCTCCATCCAGACGCGATTGGTCACTTCGCGATTGTGATAGGAGATGTGCCTCTGGTTCCAGAGAGCCGGCCGCTTGTAGACCTCGGCAATCAGCCGATTCGCGTCCATCTTCACCTCGTCCCTCATGCTGATGCCGCACTCGAGACCTGGCCGAGCTAATGTAGCTCGCACGACGACGAGGACGGCGACGGGTAGCGGACCGGCGGGAACAAAGTACGGGCGAATACTAGCGCCGGGATAGCGATTAGCGCGCAGGACGCTGGCGGGTACGACGATCGATTCGCGTTTCGCCCTCGTCTCGCCTCGCTAGCGCTAGCAGTCGCACGCTCTCCCCAAGTACCTCGCGCCGCCCTCGCCCTTTTAATATTTCGCCTCGCCTCGCGCAAGCGAATCCCTGCCCCCGGGATCACGAGATCCCCGTCTTGGAGATTGCTTTTACAGCGCTAATCGGCCAAGTGATGTTTGCATACGCTTTAATTTCTCCAACGAGTTAATCGCTTAATTCGTCGATCGCCTTATCATCGATAACATGGAGGGTAGGGGGGAGGTATACCTAGAATCTCGCGAGACCAACGCGCGAGTACAATGTTTTGCGTGTCCAATTACTCGGACATGCGCGTGCACGTGTCTCTTATACCGCAGGATTTCGATCGACCCTTGCTGACGCGAGTAGCTCGCGCTCTCCTCTCTTTTATGGTATCTCTCCTTCTCTCTACCCTTCGCTCTGAACGGATTTTGCTTCGTGCAAGCGAATCTCTGACCGACAGCTCGAGACCTTATTTTTTTTGCCTCTTATCAAGATTCGTTAGCGAATGCGTCTAATTGCGATAACAGGATTTCGATCGAGACCTACTCTCGCTAACGTTATTAACCCTTGTAACACATTTTTTTTCTCTGTTCCTGATCACATATGGGTCAAAGTGTTATTTTCCATATATATATATTTTTCTAAAAAAATATTATTCCGATTGTTTGTACAATAGATAGTTGCGTTTCTTAAAAAATTGATATTCGATGGACAGTCGTCGCATCTTTTGCGGAATTTTGTAAATCATCCGCTTGGAATAAGCAATTATCAGGGTGTCTACTCTACGGAAAAACATGGAAAACTTAGAATTCTCAGGGATTTTTTTTATACCCGGAAAAATTAGGAAAATCTCACGGAATTTTATTGGAACTCGGGGAGTTAAAAAAAAAATTCTCTTTTTGATAATTTAATCGCTTAATTCGTCGATCGCCTTATCATCGATAACATGGAGGGTAGGGGGGAGGTATACCTAGAATCTCGCGAGACCAACGCGCGAGTACAATGTTTTGCGTGTCCAATTACTCGGACATGCGCGTGCACGTGTCTCTTATACCGCAGGATTTCGATCGACCCTTGCTGACGCGAGTAGCTCGCGCTCTCCTCTCTTTTATGGTATCTCTCCTTCTCTCTACCCTTCGCTCTGAACGGATTTTGCTTCGTGCAAGCGAATCTCTGACCGACAGCTCGAGACCTTATTTTTTTTGCCTCTTATCAAGATTCGTTAGCGAATGCGTCTAATTGCGATAACAGGATTTCGATCGAGACCTACTCTCGCTAACGTTATTAACCCTTGTAACACATTTTTTTTCTCTGTTCCTGATCACATATGGGTCAAAGTGTGCTAGAGAAAATTTACAAAAATTTATATATATTCCTTAACATTTGTAGAAAACAATCATGTACAACAGAAGTTAAAAAGTAAATTTTAAACATTTCCTTTTTTATCGATTACTTGTACAAAAGTCAGTAAATACAGAATATCGATACTCTCAAAATGACTCTTATGTGATCTTTAAGGGTTAATCGCGCTCTCCTAAGTGCCTTAGTTTCTCTTAACATTTGACTTTGTAAACGAAAGCGCGAGTTAATTGCTTTAGAGACCATATGTTGTTAATCGCATGAATATGAAATATATGAGATACATTTGTCTGATAAAACCAACGAATACCATTAATAACATAAATAAGAATAAGATAGCAATTTCCAGAGTAATATTCGCGCGTTTATAATCTCTGACTCGTACGTGTACTTCTTGCAGCGATAATGCAAGACTTGGAACTAATAGCGCAAGGCGCGGAGGCGCGCCTTTATAAGGGCCTCTACTTGGGAAGGATGAGTCTGGTGAAGGAGAGATTCGTAAAGAATTACCGACACCCGGAGTTGGACGCGCGTCTCACCAAGGATCGCATCAAGGCCGAGGCTCGGGCCATCATCCGGGCGAAATCGGCAGGTAAAAAACGAAATTTCTGTTCGCAGAACGCGTTTATCCCTCTTTGCGTTATCCTCAAGGTATAGCAACGCCAGCCCTATACCTGGTGGACGTAGAACGACGCAGTATCTACATGGAGTACGTAGAGAACGCCGCAGTACTCAAGGACTTTATAGACGAGAATGTTTCGGGAAAGACGGACGTGGATGACCTGCTGGAGTTCATAGGACGCGGATTGGGCACACTCATAGCCAGACTGCATTCGAGACATATGATCCACGGAGATCTAACTACGTCGAATATACTGTTCAAGAATGACTCGAACGAACTGTCCTGCAACGACCAATCCGAAGGTAAGTTTTGCGATAATGTTTCGAATACGATAAATATTGCAGTGTAAAACTCTTTCACTTATCATACCCAGATAACCAAGCGTGATTAATCATATTAATTAATCATAATGCTGTCATATTGATGATTAATCATATTGCTCTCTTATATTGTCAACAATAATACAATTTTTGGCAACATGACAGCAACTTCACAGACAATTTGGCTATCTAGATATATATTTATTTTATTAACGCGTCTGTAAAACAAATTGCGAACAGTCGAATTTTAACATACTTGAGGTACACGGTATTGCAATGTCTTCCAATTTTCTAGGTCCGATTCTGCTATTTTTCTACATCGTTTTTTTTTCTTTTCCATAGCCGAAACTCGATTTGTAATGATAGACTTTGGACTGGCCCGATTGGATTCCACAGTGGAGGATAAGGCGGTCGATTTGTACGTTCTCGAGCGATCACTGCTCAGCGCGCATTCCGAAGTGCCGACATTGTTCTCCCGCATTTTTCATCACTATCAGCAGAACTATCGGAACAAGAGTCAATGCGAGCAAGTGCTCGCCAAGTATAAGCAGGTACAGGCGCGAGGACGTAAGCGCTTGATGATCGGCTAAAAGAACGATGGTGTCCTCGATTATTGCGATCTTTTACGATTCCAAAGAGTACGCGAGGTGTATAAATAAATTTATTTTTGTAATTTGCAACACACATTGAATTGCAAATACTTAACTGAACTTTGTACATTGATGGATATAAATTGTACGCATGTGCTTCCAACTATCAGCAGAACTATCGGAACAAGAGTCAATGCGAGCAAGTGCTCGCCAAGTATAAGCAGGTACAGGCGCGAGGACGTAAGCGCTTGATGATCGGCTAAAAGAACGATGGTGTCCTCGATGATTGCGATCTTTTACGATTCCAAAGAGTACGCGAGAGGTGTATAAATAAATTTATTTTTGTAATTTGCAACACGCATTAAATTGCAAATACTTAACTGAACTTTGTACATTGATGGATATAAATTGTACGCATGTGCTTCCATTGCAATTCGAATGATTGGTCATGGAATCAAAACGCACCGCTTGAGAAGGTAAGAAGATCTTTATACAGGTAAATATATCGTACTTGTATGTAACAATATGTAACAATATGCAAGAATTCAGTATGTAACGATACCTATTGCGAGGAAATGACTATTGCATAATGAATTTGGCAGCGGCGATGATTTATATGAAAAGCTATGGCTCCTTGTGTATCCACGATTTAAAATGTAAATCAGTCATAATGCAATCCAGAGTATATAATAATCCAAGTCACCTATTGACAAATATTACAGTATATCATATGATATATATGTAATGTAATACGATTAACATGGAGTTATTGAATCCGCTATGTGATTTAGACTTACCAGAAAACCAGCGAATGAGGTCATAAAGCCTTCCTTCGTCAATTCCCATATGCCACCAAATTCTTCTTCATCGATTTGTTGAAAACTGCTAAAGTATAAATACGTAATTCCCGCATTGACTACTACAAATCTGAAACAGCAACAATCACTTGAGAGGAATATTATTTCATAAACATAAATCACACAAGCTTTTCGATAAAGGTCTCGAATTTGTATCTCTCTCTCTCTCTTTTTACTTACAACAATAGAGCTATAAAACCTTTCAGAGGTATAAGGCCCCATCCTATACCGACGATAATACCGATCGCTTGCCTTGCCCAATATATCACGTCGAGAAATTCCTCCTGTAATCCGAGACAAAGGGAAAGAACGACAGCATTTCGGGGGTGAAAGGTTTTTTCCTCTCTCTCTTTTTAAAGAGCGCCCTCGAAGGAGAAATTGTTAAAGGTTATATTTACCTTGTCCGGCCATTCCGAGTTCGCCGTGATCGCACGTGTCCATACGCTAACCTCGCACTTGCCGCCGTTCCCGTTCTTCTCCGCTCTCGTACGCGACATCCTCGCAATCCTCGTGTATTCTGATTCGAAATCGCGGTCTAGACGATCATCGAACGCGACGTGTCGCGGCCACTATTCGCGTATCTTTCCACCGGCCGTGTCGTGTACGGTCATGCACGGTCGCAACAGCTGACAGGGCTGATCTCGCGAAGAGAAGTGGGGGAGCGGCGTGAAGAAATTAACTTAATGGAAATTTTTTGTTGTCGAGAATAAAGAATGTTCAAGAATAGAGAGGGGGAGGACTTTCCGACTTTCGAAAAATCGTGAAAATTATCAGAATATATTTCGATGAGAGAGAATTTCGAAAACTAAATTTTTCTACAGCTAAAGGGATTCTAGAATCGATTTTGGTGAGAAGTTTTTTTTTTTTTTTTTTTTTTTTTTTTTTTTTTTTTTTTTTTTTTTTTTTTTTTTTTTTTTTTTTTTTTTTTTTTTTTTTTTTTTTTTTTTTTTTTTTTTTTTTTTTTTTTTTTTTTTTTTTTTTTTTTTTTTTTTTTTTTTTTTTTTTTTTTTTTTTTTTTTTTTTTTTTTTTTTTTTTTTTTTTTTTTTTTTTTTTTTTTTTTTTTTTTTTTTTTTTTTTTTTTTTTCCAGGGAGAATGGAAATCTCA